AAGTCTTAATTCAGATGTAGCGCAAATCTCAGTTTGTTTAGTTTGCAAGTTCCAGTGATAATTCTGTCAATGGGGCAGTTTTAAGCAAAAGAAGAAGAAAGCAGAAGATAACAATGTTTCCTAATGAAATTTTTCTGGTTCTATTTTTGTAGCATCAGAAAGCTGAACATCAGCTAAGATTAATGGGGGAGCAGTCCTGGATTAAAGCAAACTGGAGGCCCTAGGCTAGGAGACAGTGGGACGCCCAAACCTAACAGTATCTGATCATGAGAAACAGAACTTTGTTCTCCTCTTTATCTACTCAATGAAAGTGGAACATTGCTGAAATTTTAGCATTGATAAAAAGATTGTTTATACATGTATAACCATTAATAAGTTTACAAAAGTATGGAATTAATGAAGATGTTCACACAGACGATTCATAGGGCTTCACAGCTATGTTATTACACTATATACAAAGTCAAAACAGTTTCTTTTGAGCTTTTCTGGATGTAGAGTTATCAACTATACCAGTAAAATCAGTAAGTTGCAGTTTATTATTTTCTATGCAGAGAATGCTTGCATCAGATAACTGATCTTGGAACATAGTTAACTGCAGATCACTCTATATCCTTTTTAGTCTAGAAAATGATCTTTTGCCTAGGTATGCCCCTGATTTTTATCATTACAAATGAAGTAAAAATAATGGTAATTTAATGCTAAATGGCAGGAGACTGACCCCCCCCCCCCCGATTATTAGGCCCTGAGTCTATATGTAAATCCGACACTGCAGGGGGGGATTGTTCTTTAAAATATATTCAGAACATTTGGAATACTTTTTCTGCCTGAAGAACCAAATAGTATGTTCATACCAATCAAAGAGCATGGTATCCAAGCCTAGCTGAGTTATTTTGGTTAGCATGAGTGTTAGGATTAGGATGAGGCAGCTGTTACTCCTTACTCTGCCTAGTGGTAGGACCAGCCGTATAAAGTGTTTGCACAGAAACATAATCATATGTATAGCAGAACAATCCTATAATGTATACATTTTCATCAATATTAACTTGTTTAATAATATAGGTAGCCTCAGCTTAACAGTAACATTAATTTTAATATGTAATATTAAATAGTGTTAAATATTTAAGATTTTATTGTGTTATATATCAGGAAGTAGAAAATACCAACAAGGTTTTAAAATGTGCAAAACCATCCTAGTTAATAACTATATAACTAAATATCTAATTAAATTTCTGTAACATTTTGACCATTATGTGAATGTCCTTTTTGGAAGAATGAACACCTTTTGTATTCTCTATAAATCAAGTCAGCAAGTATGTAATTGCATTTTCTTTGCTTCTAATATAAAACACTTTCTATATTCTTCACTGAAAAATATAACAAATTTCAGTGCTTACAACAGTAGGAGGAAAGTTAATCTACTCAACACTCCAGCTTGGAAGCAGCCTAATTAAATTTGCGACGTTAGATCTATCTAAAGAAATTAAGATCAGCTTGCCTTTAATTTTGCCAGAAACCATTTTGTAAAATTGTGTTACCTATCCTCTTTGAAAGATGATAAAGCCTCCAACATTTCCTTAAAGCATATTTTAATTCTGTTCAACAGCTAGGTGTATAGGCGTTTCTGTTTTGGTTTTTGTTTAAACACTTAGACATCTTGTAGATGGTATCTTGCCCATATTAGGGTGATTTAACACAAATTGTTTTCTTTGTAAAGGAGTAAATAAAGATCAACATTTACAAGTTCTGTCATAATGAATAATTTGTTTTCTAAAAGCCATATCCAAGAAGTCAGGTTTGTTTCCTAGGGATATGTATGACACAGTTTCTTTACAGAATAACTATGAAATTTATAGTGTTGTCTAATTGGAAATATTTATGATAGTACAAATACATGAAAAAGAGGATGGTCTGAAAAATGATAGAGGTTGCTGGAGTTTTTAGTGACACCATATTTGTGCATGCATATATGCAGTCATCTATAAATAAAAACTTGTTCAACTTAAAGTTTCGTGTGTTTTAGGACCAGAGTGAAGGCTATCTTATCTCTACAAACCCAGAAAATAGGTAGCTGAGACTGATCTGCCCCATGATCAGTGGTGAAGTTGGGCAAAGTTGCAAGCTGTGGTTGTGCACGTCTTGCCTTCCAGATGCCTACTCTTTCCCGTGGTCTTCAAGGCCCAAATCCAGATAGGGAGGATGAAATGCCTGAGTGCAGCAAAGATGCTCCCTATTTGCCTGCAGTCTTCCACATCCCCTTTTCCTTTGCTGGCTCACTTCCCTCATGCCATAGCTTCCCGTAAGCAACATCATCAGACACCCCCTCTGCACCTCTCCCCCAATACCTCCAGCCTTCATAATCTCATCTGTTTCAGTACAAAAAGGGCTGAGAGCCTCTTTCAGTAATTGGAGACCATAGTAGACCTCAGGTACTAACCATTATCAGTCCCCGAGCAACATTTCTCATCCATTTGGGATGATTGTCTATGAGCCCCAGTCAGGCTGCCATGCTCAAACAGCTCCCCCACTCACCTTCACAAGTGAAATTGTTCAGGAATGTTTCTTTTTTCCTTGAAGCATAAACTTATCTCAGAACTTTGCTAATAGGTTGACTATCCTCTGTTGGCAGCTGAAATATAATACTTGGTCAAATGCAAGCTAACTTCAAAAAGCAAGCAGTGAGTTGGTTATGTGATGGTAGTGCTTGAAAAGAAGTTGACTAATATACTTGATTGGTAAAACTACAGTGTAAGAATTTGTTAGGATTATTTATCACTGTACATGGTCATTAATGTTTCTTTTATATGAAATGCATGCGTGGGTAGCTTCTCCATTTCATTCCACCTTTCTGGGTGGTATTTATTAAAGAACCTTGATGAAGACATCAAGTGTTCCTCTTCTGCAATCAAACCCTCACCTTTTGTGACATTTGCAGCCCTGAGAAATTGTCTGCTTAATTGCAGTGGAGGAAAATACTGCAGAGCTGGAGTGGTGGACTTGGTTAAAAATGACAGTTATTCTCTGCATACCCTGAGAAGCACCGTAATGTGAGCATATAAGACAGCAGTGTTCAGCTCTTGTAGTTCATGTGCTTCTTCTCTTTGGCACTGGGAGAATTAGTCTGGGCTATGCAGGGTGCAATGTGCTGATCAAATGGGCCATACCTTTTCAGAGACCACAGGTAGCAGAGGGTATCATGTTTAATGCTCATCTCTGTAAAAGCTCCCAGAAGATAGAAATCTAGTACCCAAATGATGGGAGGTCTACCCTACCATGTTACAAGCTTTGCTTGGCCTCTGTTTACTGGGAATTTTTAATATAGGAAAGAATTCAGTAATGTGACCCCTCACTTACAATCTGCCATGGTGCAATGTGCCCTGCTACCAGGTTCTTTGTCATGTTTCGGTTCGTAAATGTGGCCTGCCATGGACAGCCATTCTTTCGTGACAGGGTATAGGCATTTCTTCCAACATACCTTGGCATACGCCTTGTGTAAGTTTCACTTAAACATTCCTTTTATGACTTTCTTTCCAGAGCTGCCCTGCATGCACACTGTATCTGTGCTGAGAGTCATATGCCCTTCTCAGAAATTTACATTTCAGTTTCAGATGTGCACACACTGGCACAATCCCTAGTGTTCTTTATTTAGCCCTCCAGCAGTCACCACAGTCCACCACCTTCTCACTCACTCACTCACTCGCTCACACTCGCCTTCTCCCTCTTTGGCCATACCTCGTACTTGTGCATCCTGCTGTGTTCATATTAATTTGTCCACTTGCCGTTCCTGCCTGTGCACTGTCAGGTTGAATTTTGCAGGAGACCAGTGTGTGGGCTGTTCTTGGCAAGTCAAACTGCTGTGGCAAATAATGCGGTGGAGTAACTTTAGAGCCTGAATTTAACAGTCTTGCACAGTGATCTTGACTTTTCAGAAATTTTTACCTGGAAAATGATTCTGGAATATTAGGCTTAGAAAATCATGTGCAACAATTTAATTTAGCATGTTTGCTAAATAAAAATAAAATAAGATAAACAACAAAGTTTAAAAAGTGCCTGACATTGATTTTTTTGTCTCAATGCAACATAGTTATTTCAAGTGAAATATTTCAGGGTTGGGGGTGTTAAAACACACTTAATGTGATGCAAACATTACATTATATATACATGTTTAATGAAACACTTGTAAAAGTATTAAAGACTACAGTGTGCTTTTCTTATGTTGTTTAAATCTAAGAGAAAAACAAAGGTACTGACAATTTTTGACAATTCAGCCATCCCCAACCTGGTGCCCTCCAGATAGTTTGGATTATAACTTCCAGCATCCTTCAGTCAGCATGGTTGACTAGGGATGTTGGGAGTTATAGTCCAGTTCCTATGGAGGGCAGCAGGTTGGGGGGAGGATGTACTAATTAATTTTGGCAACACAAAGAAGCATATGTGGTGTGCTGACAACCACTCATCTACCTCTGCAGAATTGACTCTCTTCCACTAAGGTTGTTGGTGCCCCTCCAGTTGCACTGCTTCTGTGTATTAGTGCGATTTCACCCAGAGTTGGATATGCATTTCAATGGCATGCATTCTTTCACATACTCATTAGGGACCATCACCTGAAAAAAAATAGTAATTACTGCTTTGAAGCTGCCAAGTTTGCTTGATGCCCACAGCACCAGCATATCTAGAGGAATAAGATGGAGTTTTCTAGACAACCTACTGTATTTGCCATTATCCCACCTTCTGGTGTTCTCAGGGCAATCATGGGGGCGGGGAATGCGCTGTGGGTCTCCAAAGTCCAGAGAGGTTGCCCCCATCTCTTGGCTGTTTCTTTACTCCATTAAGATCACTGAATGGTAAATGTCTCTGTTGACATAGAACCAGAGCTGCTGCTATGTTACATAATTTCTGGTGCTGCACTCAAGGAATGAGTTTGAAGCCCCGTGAACGTGTACACTGCAAGCAGAGTGCCTGGAGCTAAAAAACTTGTCTCTTCAATTTCCATTTTTTTTCAGGGCAGATATCAGTGGATGGATTTATGAGATATTTGAGTGGAGAGGAAAATGGAGTGGTTTCACCTGAAAAACTGGATTTGAATGAAGATATGAGCCAGCCTCTGTCTCACTATCTTATCAATTCCTCGCACAACACCTACCTCACAGGTGCAGTATGGAAGAAAAATTAAAGTTGTTTAGACTTCTGACATAACAGTGATGTGCTCTAATAGTATGGAACATGTTTGTGCTTGCATAATAGCATGAAATGTGAGAGTGTGAGAGGCTTCTCTAAAGGGCAGAGATCGTGTGGCATCTGTGGCTTTGTTGCTCTTGTCGCTTTCCTCACTCTTTGCACTGCATTAGTGATGAGCAAGCTCTCCTGGGACTGTACTGAGAATGGGCCCAGTTCAAAATTGTTAATATGTGCTTGATTCTGGGCCTGCATTAAGTCGTTACAACTTGGGCCCGTTTCACATACAGCACACAGCAATTCGCACTGCCAGAGTGACCTTTCCTTTCCCAGGTTTACCATTAGGGAAGGTGACAGTGTAAGGGAGTTCTGAATTCCTTGCTGCCAGGAAGGATATTGAGTGTACTTTCCAGTTCATTTGGGAGGCATTTGCTTTACATTTCCTGTGCTTCTGCATCAAGTTGAGCCTGCTATGAATTAGGCCTGAACTTTAGAGAAGTCTGCGCCTACTGGGTAAGGGGCTCAAAGAACATGATGGGGGTGGTCGTTCCAAGCCCCTGCATACACACTCACAAAATAATTGGGTCTTTCTTCAGAATGCAGCAGGAGTCTGATCAAGTGGAAGGCTGGAAGGCCAGCAGTCACGACAGGCTTATTTCAGTTTAATTTGGGGGTTGGGGGTCCTCTCACCACTCAGGGCAAGCTTGTGATAGTAGAGGCAATCCTGGATTGCTTCAAATCATGCCTTCATTTGCATAGTTGTTGCACAAGCAATTGTGAGAGTGAGGTTCAAGATGCAGGCAGTCCCCAAGTTACAAATGCCCAAGCCGGAAACAACCTGCTGTCATGAACAATTTGCCATCAAGCCTATTGATTTCTTAAGAAATTACTGAGGAAAAATCATCACCATAGAGAAGAAGGAAGCGGGAGTGGAGAGAGAGGAAGGGCTCCAAATCATCACCATAGAGAAAGAAGCCAAAGGGAAGAGAGGGAGCCCTTCAATCGGTCCTTCCAGCATATCCTTGCTGCAAAGAGGGGGCCTTGGTGAGTTTGGGCACAGAGGCCTAGAGATGTTAGCGGTTTTTCCACTTTCACGGGGTTCCTGCATCCCCTAATCCTACAAATGTGGGGGCTGACTATACATGAGCCGACTTACATACAAATTCAACTTAAAAGTGAATTTCCATTTTCTCAGGAATGGAACTTATTCGTAACCTGTAGACTGCCTGTGGATGCTTTGTCAGGTTAAACAGGGGTGGGAAGCTTGTAGGGTGGAAGGCCAGAATCCCATCAGCCCATAGCCATTAGTGAAGGACAGTTCAACTTGTCGGCTAAACCATCTAGAGGCCTAGGTCACCCTCTCCCTAGATTAAGAGAGATGCTGTAGGACTTGCCATATATAAAAATGGTGCTTGGATATATCCAATTATTATGTTTTGCTTGCTGATCTATTGGTGTTATAGAATCAACAGACTCAATTGGAAAAGCTTTTTTCCTTGGTGTATCAATTCAGGCAGGGAACGTTTGTGAGAAGTTTGAGTGCTCACCCACAGAACTAAACCCCATCCTGTATGTAACAAAAGAGATGTCAGGAGACCTCTGTGTTCTGGATTGTGATATTTCTGTCACTGAAAAAAAATGTACCTAGCTGAATGTGAAGGGTTGTGTATGTCAGTCATTTTGGCCTTTTGTATCTTATTTGAAAATACGTAGGCAAGAACAAGATTCAAGAAGGCAGTGCTAGACGGTAATTACAACAATAACATTACGGAAGGTTTTTTTAAAATATCAAATGGTTGATCTTGACAGCAATAAATGCTGCTAAATTCAAGCTACATATGTAAGATGGCAGTAGCATGATTTTCTGCTGTAGTCAGGATAATGCCAATAATTAGGGAGCAAGACTGTTATTTTCTGTGTAGCTCAAGCATTGTCATTAGAAAGATGTTTTTCAAATCATCCATTCTGTATATAATATATATTTTTCATGTATTACATGGAACAAGCCAGTTTATATTGTCTTGTGTCTGGCTATTCACATTAATCCAAGAGAACAGCAGAGGAAATGTCAAACTGCATATTTCATAAATAACAGGAAATGCCAGACTGCGTATTACATAAATAAATGACAGCATATTTCATAAATAAAATATTTTGAGTGCACAATTTTGATATTGGCTATGTCATAGCGTGGGACTGGGTTAGCTAGTAAAAGCTAAACCATGGGATATATATGACATAGTACAACTCATTTTGCACATTAGACTGCAATCCTATACCCACTTACTTTAGATTAAGTCCATAAAACATTCCTAACTCACTCATGCCAGAAGTCCACCTAGCCCAGCATTCTGTTTGAATCTTATGAACAGGGCATATTAGGGCAAACCCCTCGGTTTATCATCTGTATCTAGTGTTCAGAGGTATACTGCCTCTGGATCCAGAAATTCTGTTTAGCTAACATGACTAGTAATTGTTGATGCTTTGCATCCAACCTTCACAGATATCGAATCCCTTTTTATGTTACCCAGACTAGTGGCCAACAACATTACGTCTCTTGGTAGTTATGTCAAGAAGAATTTCCTTTTGTCTGTTCTGAATCTACTGCCAACCGTTTTGATTTTGTATTGTGAGAGATACAAGCAAATGTGCCTATACCCAACCTTTTTCATAAATATGTAGTAGACCCCTGTTTTATCCATCCTTACTTGTCAACTTTCTAAACCTAAAATGTCTAAACACTTAAGGCCAAACCATGCAGTGCAATCCATACACTTAAAAAAACAAACAAACAACAGCTTTAGTTGGGCACTTTTATTTTGAAGAAGAAGCAGTTGTGAGTCCCCTTTTTGGAATGTTTCAAAAGTGGACTAGGGCCCATACTGACTTCCTGCTAAAATCTTTATGTGCAATAAAATCCTGCATCAAAAATCTCATCTTTGAGCCAAACAGTTGCACGGGAAGAATTCAACCATTTTCCTAATCCCTGCTGTTTGTTCACTGAAAATCACCTGGGAATGTTCAGAACATTGGAAAAGGGATTTTGCAAAGCTAAGCATAGCTGTCCATAGATTTGCAAAGCTGTCCATAGATTTGCAAGAAATACTGAGAAGAACATTGCCTTGATTCTGTAAGCCCAGTTATCTCTCCTTCTCTAGCCCCTTAAGCTTGATTGTGTTCACAATGTGCCTTCTCTTTCTGCCCCTTTTGGATCAGAGTCCAGAAAGCTTATATACCGTGAGACAGGGCTACATAGGGAAAGATGAGAGCAGAGGGCTTTCTTCAGATGAGAGCCTCCCTACCCCTGCCACAGGGATAGGATCAAGGCTATCAGTTCCAGAATCCCCCGATAGGCAAATGGTACTACTCAGGAGATTTCTCCTGTGGAGAAAGCCACCAATAGCCATTTTTCCAGTGGAAATTACCGTAATTCCCTCTCTGGAGACTGTGTGACTGGTAGCCCAGTGCCATCCCAACTAGGAAAATACCCTCCAGTTGGAAGCTATGGAACTCCCTGTGCTGCTGCCTTCTCTTGCCTCACCTCACACCAGCTAAGCTTTTTGGACCCCAGTGAGGGTCCAAATATTGTTTACTTCGAACTCTACCTTCAGGGGAAAGTACAGCCAGGGAAGGTCAATTTTGGGCACGTACTTGTGACAGCACCTGAGCCAGAGTGGGGGCATTGTCTGGATCATGGAGCCACTCTGACTTTTTCTTCAAACCAAAAATGGCTTGTGGAAGCATGTTTTTAAAATAGCATGTAGCATGACCCTTAGTCTTTCTTTGTGGAGAATGAACTTCATAGTCTGCCTGCTTGGGCCCTTTTCTATTTTCCTTCCCCACAGTGCAGCCAGGAGTGCCATGTACACCAAGTGTTGACGCTTGTTTCTATCAAAGGGGGCACATAGTCTCCTGGGAGGGTTGCTAGAGCTGCTCCTGGAAGATACTGCACCTCCTACATTTGGAGGGCAGCTGCTGGTGTGTCCTCTTAGAAAGGAATTCAGCATCAGCAACATCCTTTTTGAGAAGATGTGTAGAAGGAAAGTGGGGGATTGGTGGACCAGTGGCAGCAGGACTTGGAGTGACTGGAACTGGCAGATTGGCAGCAGTGGGTCATGAGGGGACCACATGGAAGACTCAAGCAATGTATGCTGAAAATGGTCTTAAAATTATCTGGCTTTTATGTAATTCAGTTTGAAACATATCTGAGAATTGTTCTTGCAGCTGTAATAAGAATCTTAAATCATGGTTTCCCTGAGACACCACATCCCTCTCTTTGCCTTCTATTGTTGACATCTGAAATAGTGCCCCTTCTGGGACCATCAGAACTTCAGATGCTATTTCACACATATCCATGCTATAGATTTATGCATTGTGATGCTGGCAATTTTATTTTCAGTACTAACTCTTGTATTACCTTGTCAGCAGTCTCTGGTGTGGTGGTACATACCTAGTAGTAAGGGCATTTTGTGCACAAGAAAATACTAACATTTCACTTTCACATTGTTTACTGGAATCACAGTAATAAGAGCTGATATTT